GGTACAATGAACATGGACATGTGACCTTTCATGTGGAAAGTGACTGTTCAGGTGGATGTTAATGGCTGGTTAATGGCCTTAACACCTGGTTAATGGTGTAGTAACACCTGATTAATGTTGTAGTAACACCTGAATAATTTTACTGCCCATTATCTCTGCCTTAAGTGTCAGATGTGACTTCTGGCTTCCCTCAAGATGTGGAAGTCCTATAAATAGGACTTAGAGGTGCAGAGAACATACACAACATTTCATGCAATCTGATAATCTCAAAGCCTCACGCATCATATCATAGTTCTCGGTTCTCGACTTCATTCTTGTTCGACTGGACTCTGAAGGCTGGTGTGCTACAGCTTCCGAGTGTTAAAGCCGTTGTATCTTTGGGGACATTACGCACTGACCCGTCAGCACTACACGGGGCGTATTTGTCTTGCGGATAGATTTCAATCGCCTCGGCTCAAATCTCTCCGCGTTCGAGTTGTAATTTAATTTTTTGTTTTAGTTCTTTTGTACGAACTGAACACTTCAGTCAGTTTATAGGTTCCCATTGTAATACAAAACACAAGTTGTGTAACAGTTTTAATTTTTCCTGAAATGACTGTATGTAGGTATGGATTTTTTTTCATATGGTCTCTGCTATTTTTTTCCTTCAGATTTTAACATGTGTTTTATTATCTTATATGCATCCTTTGCAGCTAAATTCACCTGGAATTTTTCATTTATATTCCTACCTTTTGCTATGTAAATTAGAAATCTTCAATTAGTCTGACCAATAGAAGTTCAATTTTTTACCTTTGCTTCAAATTATTTCGCTGTGAACTCACTGCTTACAGTTCAAGATGTGAATTAAATGTCTTCTGTTTATGATATATTTATAAATTAACTACTTAACTGTGTTATTTATAATCATATTTATGTTCTGTGAAGGGGGTTGATGGAGTCAGATGTTGATAGTTTTATTGAGGATGTGCTCGTTAATGGGAAGCCTTGGCTATCTGGAATGCAGGAGGAGTTGGCGGGTTCTTATATGTTTGTTTGTGCTCATAACAAACGGGACCGTAGGTGTGGTGTTTGTGGCCCAATTCTTATTGAAGGATTTAAAGAAGAGATTGCGTCCAAGCTAGGGTTTGAAGGACCAGGTGTTTGTGGCTGCATGTTCGCATGTAGGAGGACACAAGTATGCAGGCAATGTGATAACTTTCAGTGCGGATCCTCATGGCAAAATTGCTGGCAATTGGTAATATTTATACTCGCGTCGTTACTTGTTTTGTTATTGAACTATTGTCACGGTGTGTAGAGATCGTTTGGTTGAGCTCATCAGCTCCTCGAAACATCTTATAAGATGCTTGAGAGCTAAATATCTCGTATAGGGGTTCCTCTTATCCGCTCAGCTAGGCACTCTCTTAGTTGCAATACATTTTAAGCGCGCATAAATATATAATAAAATATCTTGTCATGACAAACGAGTGGTGGTTGGTTCTATATGCAGGTATGGCTATGTCACACCTAATGATGTTCTTGAATTGCTCGATAAACGAATTGGGAAGGGAGAAGTCATTCGACCGTATCTGGAGGTTTGTGTCCTCCGTGTCATGACTTTATTCTAGAATTAATTATCATGGTTAAATGCAGCAAGCTAGTCGATCATTATTCTTGACCACTGTATGAGTTACTTCTTGGAAATCTGTCTTCGAAAAATTAAAACTCCACTTCTGTTTGGGACAACAATTTTATATGAAGAGCTGTAAATATATATTCTCCCTTGTTTGTAAACACAAATAGGTTGTGGTGCATCTGTTTTAAGTGGAACTGATAGTTTGTTGAAATCTGATGTGTATAGTTGAGTAATTATAAGAACTGGAACTTATCATTCTTTCCTTTCCAGAGGCCAAATGGGTGCGAAAGCTAAAGAAGACGAACAAGTAGAGGAGCCGAAGCATGCCACTGAAACTAATGCGAATGTCAATGACAAACAACTTTCAGAGACTGTTACTGAAGTCGAGACGGAAGGCGTGGGGAAGCTGTTGCCAGGGTGTTAACGGGTTTTCGTGCTGCCATGCTGAAAATGTTGATAAAGAACAAATTAAGAACAAATTCTCAAGCTGGGTCGGAAATTTTGATCAGCGACATGTCCTTACAACTTGTTAGGCTCAGATGCGCAATGCGGAAAATGTAAATTAAAATATTAAAGTAAAATAGTGAATAATAATCCAATCCCAGCAACTCAAGAATGACAAAAGAAAATCTCATGCAATAATACCGGAATAATTCTTTTCTGATGTGGAGTTCAGATTAAACTGCGACCACAGAGCATACTAAAAATATTCCAAATAAATAAAATATGCAAGAAATAAGACACCAAGATTTAACGTGGAAAAACCTCCAAATAGAGAAAAAAACCACGGGACAACCTCCAAACAATTCCACTATATTTTCAAGATAATTACAATATCTTTTCACACTCTCTTACACTAGAAATGTAAAATATAGTGACCCAGTGAGACCCCACTCCTAAACAAAGAGTAATAGAGTTGATACCCAACCCGGTGTATTTTTCCCACACTCACAGGATTTACTCAAACACTCTATTTTTATCTCACTGAAAAATAACACTCCAGAAAATTTGCTTTCTGATCTTTTTCTTTCTCGCTTCTTGGTGCATCTTTCCCTCTGCTGAATGCCTCTATTTATAGGTGGGGAATGCAACACATTCAGCAAAATTTGGGCGGCTTCGGCATTATTTTGCAGCATTCATAATTGATTCTTTTGTTTTTTATTATTATCTTTAAATGTGGGCAACTCACCAAAATTTGTTTTTGTTCAACCACCATGTGAAAAATTTTGGCCTTACTCTTTTGTTTACTTTTGAGTTGGACCCCACAATTCTCCCCCTCCAGCCAAAGGGAAATATTCTGTCAATCTTCACATGCATTTCATGCCGGTTAACTTGACACAAAGCTGAAGCTTTCCCCCTGTAACAACTTTCGTCATCATGTCGGCAGGATTTCTGTCTGTGTGAATCTTTTCCAACTTGAACTGTTGTTCTTCCACTGCTTGACGTAGCCAATGATATCTGACATCAATGTGCTTCGTGCGAGAGTGGTACATCGCATTCTTACTTAAATCTAATGCGCTCTGACTATCACAATGGATATCGTACCTTTCCTGCTTCATTCCCAATTGCTAAAGAAACCTCTTCAACCAAAGCATTTCTCTGTCTGATTCTGTCATTGCAATATACTCTGTTTCAGTAGTCGACAAGGCAACAGATTTCTGCAATTTAGATTGCCAAGATACAGCTCCTCCTGCAAATGTAAACACAAACCCTGAAGTAGATTTTCTACTATCCAGGTCACCTGCCATATCCGCATCTGTATAACCTTCAAGAACTGGGTTTCCTTTGCCGAAGCTCAAGGACTTATTTGCACTGCCTTTTAGGTACCTCAAGATCCACTTCACAGCTTCCCAATGATCCTTTCCAGGATTGGAAAGATACCTGCTAACAATTCCAACCGCGTGAGCGATATCTGGCCTTATACAGACCATGGCATACATCAAACTCCCGACTGCCGAGGAGTATGGAACACCCGCCATAGCTTCTTTTTCTTCTTGACTCTTAGGACAACTTTGTTTGTTGATCTTGAAGTGATTGGCCAACGGTGTATTGACCGGCTTAGCCGATTTCATGTTGAATCTCTCTAGAATCCGATTCACATACCGTTCTTGCGGTAACAATAACCACTTGGATTTTCGGTCTCGCATGATCTGCTTGCCCAAAATTTGTTTCGCAGGGCCCAAATCCTTCATTTCAAAGAACTTTGCTAGTTCCTTCTTCAAATCACCAATCAGCTTCACATCTTGTCCCACTATCAACATATCATCTACATATAACAAAAGGATAATGAATTTATCACCTGGAAATTTCTTAACGAACACACAATGATCTGCATCAGTCTTGGTATATCCATGACTCGCCATGAACGAGTCAAATTTCTTATACCACTGTCTAGGACCTTGTTTCAATCCATACAAGCTCTTCTTCAATCTGCAAACCATGTGCTCCTTCCGGTCCTCTCAAAACCTTCTGGTTGCTCCATGTAGATTTCTTCATCTAGGTCTCCATGAAGAAATGCAGTCTTCACATCTAGTTGTTCAAGCTCCAGATCCAAGCTAGCCACCAATCCGAGTACTACTCGAACAGAGCTCATCTTTACAACCGGAGAGAATATCTCATCAAAGTCTATTCCTTGCTTTTGTCCAAATCCTTTCACGACTAAGCGAGCCTTGTACTTCAACAGCTTGTCACCATCTTTCTTAAGCTTGAACACCCATTTATTTTTCAAGACTTTTCTGCCTTCAGGAAGCTTCACAAGCTCATAAGTTTCATTTTTCACCAGTGAATCCATTTCTTCTTGCATAGCTTTCATCCACTGGGATTTATCCTTATGAGTCTGTACTTCTTCAAAGCTTTCTGGCTCCCCTTCTTCAGTGATGGTAATATACGTAGTACTAGGGTATCTCGTAGATGGTTGGATCGCTCGGTTTGATCTCCTGGGCTAAGGTGGAGCTTCGGAGTCTTCTTGCTCAACACCTTCACCATCACCATCTTCTATTGTTGGCTCATCATCAACCCTGAGTTCTCCATCACACTCTCCCCCTGCTGTGGCATCTCCAGGAGGTTTGACAGGTGAAAGATCCACCTTTCCACTTGGTTCTCTGATTTCTGGTGAAGCAGAATAAGACATAGTTTCTTGCTCATGGAACACTACATCTCTGCTTCTGATAATTTTTCAATTTTCTGGATCCCATAACCTGTAGCCAAATTCCTCATCTCCATAACCCAGAAATATACAAGGAATGGCTTTATCGTCAAGTTTTCGTCTCTGTTCCTTGCTTACATGAGCAAAAGCTTTGTATCCAAACACCTTTAAATGAGAGTATTTAACATCATGTTCGGACCATACTCTCTCAGGGATATCAAAGCCCAAAGGAACAGATGGAGATCGGTTGATCAGGTAGCACGCCGTTAGAACAGCTTCACCCCAAAATGGCTTGGGTAGCTTAGCCATTCTTAACATACACCTCACTTTCTCCATAATGGTTCTGTTGATTCTTTCAGCCACACCATTATGTTGTGGGGTTCTAGGAATAGTCTTCTCATGCCTGATGCCATGCTCAG